TGAATGAATAAAGATATTTTGAATTGAATTGAATTGAATTGATTTCCCACTGCGTGTCCCCCCAATGGGGGGAAAGGGTAGAGGAGAGGGAAATATTTTCCATTTTTCCCCATTGGTCTTACAAAAATTTTAATCTTACAGTCAAGTTGAAGAATACGACAAAATTTGAGTTATTTTGATTTTTGGGTAAATGCCCCCCTTATGTATTGTCTGTGGGTAAGTTCTCAGAACTATGGCGACCTCTTGAATATAGGCAATGAAGGATTTCCATTGTTATTAATTAAGGGACAGCTGATTGTTTTATGTGATAGACCCTTGTTGGCCTTAAGTCTCTACTACTCGCCTCATCCATTATTATTATTTACCATTCATTATTTACTGCCCCCCAAAGGAAAAAGTCCAGAGGAGTCATATCTGGACTCCCAGGAGGTCTTTGGATGGGCCCTTCCTTGCCAATCCACCGATCGTCGAAACGAGGCTCGAGGATTTACCCACAAACCACATAACGCACTGGGCCTTTGCTGGAGTTGCCATTGCACTACATAAACATGTCTATTTAAACTCATAATAACAGCTGATTTATGTTCAACAATTAACACACAGAACTGCAATGAAGCCTGTGCAAACAAATGAGGAATGCAAACGGTTAAATTAATTTTGAATAAACTATCGTACAAAATTTGAGAAAAATGTAAAACATTAAATAATGGATGTTAATGCCCTAATGGTGCTCATATCGAATTATACTTAGTTTCTAATAAAGCTTGAGAATTTTAGCTTTAAATACAAATATAAAACATTAAACATAGCCTTTTATATGGTACTGTATCGATATTGACATTTAAAATGTTTAAGTTCTTTTGTGGACACCCTGTATTTTAAATGCATTTTATAATAAATTTGCCAAACTGTTAACAATTACAATAATAGCTACCACAAATAAAGGTTCTTGTCTTTGGTGTATTTCCAAATAATAATTAAAAATTTCTATGACTTGCATTTCGAAAACTACAAAGTAATAAGTGCGGAAAATGTTTAAAGCCCCCAGTTTCCGAGAAAAAATAGTATATCTTAAAAACTGTTAGGACGAGACTTTTGGATTTTAGGCTGTAGATCTGTTTTCCAGATTTAATAGCATCATGCAATCAGTTTGTGGTTTAAGGTAGCCGGGAGCAGCACCATACTAGTCATAAAGTAAAATGAAAAATTTCCAAACGACCACTTAAAATTTATATAACTTATAATAACATAGCAATTTTGACATGTTTTTAATCTATTACTAAAATATCCCATTTATGTCTTCTTCATATCAGCTAACCTAAATACACATTGAATTAGTCCTTAATTTTCTGGAGGCAAATTGAGAGCCAATTTTCACTGAGTCAAATTAAATCAATCAGCCGAATTCGCTTAGTCTGCAAGGTGCTGCAGGCGGTAATAGGGTGTTGATCAAAGTTATTTTACCCATAAATGCTCGCATATTGAATTGTCTTTACTTTCTCTTTATCTCCTTATATATGGAAAAAGTATTGTTTTCGTCAACATTTTCGAGTTTGAGTTTTGGATGAATAAACTCGTGATGGGTTCCCATGAACCCAAAAAGTGGTTTTGAAGTGATGTGTCTGTCTCTATGTGCAGATTTGTATAAGGCTGCAAACCACACTGTGATCCGATTTTGATGAGATTTAGTATGTGGGTACTAACATTGACTTTCGAGAAAAGGTTGACTGATTTTGTTTAATGTTTAGTATTTTATAGTTCTTCTAAAATTCTAAACACAGTTGTACAACTCCCATTGCTGTAAAATGTAAGATTAATGAGTTATTGCAACTGTGGTGGTTTTACCCATAAATACTATACTTTCTCCCACCACTGACTCATGAAGGGCTGTTGTCAAGCTAATGGGAGAAAGTATGTTTCAGATTGTTGTTACCGTGTATTATTAATATTGTTAATGTTAAATTGTGAATATTTCCTATTAAAATCTTTATGTATCTCAATCTATATATACATATTGATTACATTAATAATGTGTTTAATAATAATAATAATAATAATAATAATTTCAATTTCAGTTTTCAATTTGTTTATTTCTCGCATGCGAAAATTTGTTGTACACTGCAGCGCCTTGTATACCTCTCTAGCTGCAAGCTATTTGAGAGGAAAACTCATACTCTATTACCTTATTATACTGTCTTTTATAGGTACATCGTATAAATCCATTTGTTTCATTTTCAAATTAAATAATATTTAATAAACAACCAAAATTTGAACAAAAACATTTTTTTTCTTTTTTTCTTTTTATGTTTTTTTTATATTATATTTGACTCATGAGTTCGTATGTTTTTTAATAATAATAAGGATAATAATAATAACAATAATAATAATAATAATAATAATAATAATAATAATACAATAACCTCTTTTATATTCTGCCATCATGATTTACATTGGATGCTGTGGGTATTAGTTTACTTGGTGAAATCAGAGGTCATTTTAAATAAAATTGTAAATACAGTTATAACAATTTTGTATAACTGGTAATGCTCGAGAGCATTGATGTAAATAAAATTTTTCTCTCGGGATTTAAATTTTACTTTGGTTATAATAGTAATGACAAACTGTAATTCTTAAATATACCTTTTAATTTGTCGTTATATAAAGTATACTGTTGATGTTTTGCGAAAATCTGGGTTTGTAACTGTAATTATAACACAGATTAAAATTTAGTGGTGTGTGCTCTTAAAGTACTAATATTCTGCTCAATAAATGTATTGTACTTTACCGTAAAGTTTATTATGAACAGTAAGTAATAAATCTAATTTTAAGGGTACCATTATTTTTAAATCATGATTAGTGGTTTTATTAGAACTAAAATAAACGAATAAATTCACATCCTTATATCAGTACAAAAATAACATTGAACTTCAAGAAAAAATTTACACTACTTTAGTAGACAAACAATCAAAGTCAACATGTTTTATCGTATAAAAGTAATTTTTTAGCTTCAGATTGGTTTATACTTTCAGGGATGCTATGTAAAAAATGTGAGAAAAGATCAAATCTTTTCAAATAATGAATCAGGACAACCAATATGCATGGTAAAGTATAACTAATAACATGTTCAAATTATACAGTAAAATAGAGCTCGCACGTTGTCGACCATAAGTATGTAGGCTATTTTGCAAACTTCTCTATTTTCACCCCACGCTGTAAATAAAACATGTGATTGGGACTCCTTCCATTTGTTTTGATTTTCTGTAAATATTTTTTTGTTATTTCGTCACCAACATGGCAACCCATAAGGCCCATGTTAATTTTTTTTTAATTCATTTTTGTGCTCATTTTTGAGCCTATTTTAATTTATAATGGGATTCTACAAATCTACAGGAAAATATCTTTCTAACAGTATGCATGGAGTTTCCCTGCGATGCACAGAAACTGAGAAAAAAGGTTTTTAATAAACATGCTTGTCTCCTATAGAATTAGACTCATGTTAAATCTCCATAAGAAAAGTTGAATTTCCATTTTTGACCATTCTCAAAATACAAATAAAACCTCCAAATATAGGACCAATGATCTTTCTTTTGGTACAAACCACGTGTAATTCGGTCCAGTAGTATGGTCAGGCAGCTGTCATAAGTTTTGCAAAAGTGTTTTAATATAGTATAAGATACAAATACTTAGATAAGTGTAGTAACTCATTACCGCCAACAATTTTAAAATTAATATTAAAAATAAGAAGTAGCGACACACATAACTAATAGTTCAATTCTACACATAATGTGTGTGACACGGGAGGATGTGACATAGTTGCGCTTTGGGGAATAGAACGTCATCAAAGAGACAAATGAATCTTAATCACAGTCAGAGTGTAGAGTTGAGAGTTAATAACGCCAGAGTCAACTATAATAGTTTCGTATGGTTGTCATTTCAAAGTAAAGTATTAAAGTATTTGATCTAATCAATTTCGTGTAATCTATCCATCTGTCTACTACAATAAAGATAATGCTATATAACATCCCTTTTTCAGCTGTCTTACTGAGATTTCTACGATTGAGGTCTCATTGTAAAGCCTATAATCTAGCGAAGTGACGAATGAGATAGGTCATTTCCATTAGGGCTTCTCCCTAGCGTTTTTTTACAGTTCCCCTCAAAGATTCAGTGATGCTGACTAAACATTCTTTATACAATGGATTAAATGTGAACAGCAGCTGATTGTTCAGTTGGATTTTCTGTGCGTTTTTTGCCCTCTCGTACTTTATTATATCGACATATAAGAGACGATTAAATCATTATCAGAGAAGGCAGGAAAGGTATAGTCAGAGAAGGCAGTGTACAATCTTATAGGTTTGTGTTTGAGGTTTGAATGGAGTTACTGTACGGCTAAGTACAAAATTGTGTTTATCTGACCCTACAGAGACAAATGTATTAATGGAAATGGATAAGCTACACTTTTAAAACTGTAACCTAATTGAGGTAGCTGAATCATTCTTTATGTTGTAGATCTAAATAAACAAATTTAATTAAATGTAAATTGGTGTTTTTATTTATGGCCTAATAAATGTCTTAGACAGACCTACAATGTTTTAAATTTAAAGTGTAATACAGTACATAATTCTTTATGCCTTGGAACCACCTATAAAATTGAGCAATTTGCTCATGGGTGCTCTCGTACTTTATAATTATGTTGTACCGACGTATCGGAGACGATTTAGTCAGTAGAGTATGTGTATGATGGTTAATAACACCAGAGTCAATTAGTGGAGTTTGATCTCATCAGTTTCGTGACGTAATCCTTCTCAGTTACGAACATTGCCGTCCCAGAGCAGTGTACAATCTTGTAGGTTTGTGTTTGTGGTTTGAATGAAGTTACTGTACGGCTAAGTAAATACATTACTGCACTATAAATAGGTTATATCATTTATAGACTATTGTGTATTAATAGTCAGCTTGTATAAATCACTATTATTGTATTATTGTAGATGGTTTGTACTTACGCCAATAAGACGACTGATCTGGTGTATTCCTTGATGTGGTCAGTCAGCTTTACTGTGCAGATTCCAAAGCTCTTCAGATGAGGGTCTAACAACTGTAATTAAAATCCAATAGCGCATAAATAACCATTTCCGTAAACACAGGATGTCCAGTTAGTAAACAGTAAACTCCGAGAAATGGTTTTATGAGTTAAAATATAACACTAAAATCAATTCAACATCAATTTTTTAAACGCTTTGTTTACGAGATTTGTATTGGGTCACTGGAATTCTACCCCCGAAAATTTACCCCCATGAAAAAACGCCTACGTCATTTTGACGTCACAGGTCTGGGGGTAGATTTTAGGCCGCAAACCTTTAGGACGGATAAATTATTATTTATTTCAATCAACTCACTTTTTACGGGTTACTTAACAGTTGTAATTAATCAAAATTCTAATAAACCTGACACCAGAATTTAACCCCCAGAAATATAACACCAGAAACCCACCCCTGGAAATCTACCCCCAGGAATCTACCCCCAGCGGTCAAATCAGAAATGTCCGACACCGGGAGTCTACCACCGGAAATCTACCCATCGTGGTCGAATACGTTAAGTATCGGCCAAGATTTATTGTTGTAGTTGGTTTTATTACTTGGTAACCTAACCTAACCTAATACTCAATATTAGAAGGTAATGAACGTGCCAATTAATCAAAATCAACTACAACAATGAATCTTGGCCGATACTTAAAGTATTTGACCACGATGGGTAGATTTCCGGTGGTAGAATTCCGGGGTCGGCCATTTCTGATCTGACCACTGGGGGTAAATTTCCGAGGGTAGAATTTCGCTACCCTATCTTAGATGCCTTTAAAATACTTCACTACAAAGGTATTCTCTCGCCATATCAACAGAACACTACTAATGAAATATAAACCCTATTTACAATTATTCATGAATAAACATATATGCAACAACAATTTGGATTAATCTTCATAAAAATTAAAAAAATTACATTGAGTTTCCTAAAATATGAAGATTAACACGTCTTTGCAAACCCAGATTTTCAAGTGCCACAGCCATTAACATAATGAAAACAGAAAAGTATTACCTTTGCCCTATGGTTATTAAAATTACTCCACAATTTTCTGTGACATTAAGGTCTGTATTTTTGTTATAGCTGTAATCATGACGAACATTTTGTTTTGGCTTTGTGGAGAAATTATTTAAGTTGAATGTAATAATCAAGTAATCCATCAACGTAAAACTAAATACAGTACTACTAACTACATACCCCAAGGTCAGTGTAGCTGATGTTAGGTCGGTAAGGAATTACTAGAATTAGAGCTACAGACCACACCAACAATGCCGCCACTATCGGTGACGTACGAGACTGGCTGTGGACATCTCTCAGTAAATTTATTGCTAGTGTCAGGTGGCTCAGCACAGTGAAGTGCGTGGACATATCCTGTAACATAGCAACACTTCTGGGTAGCAGACTGGCTGTGGACATCTCTCAGTAAATGTATTGCTAGTGTCAGGTGGCTCAGCACAGTGAAGTGCGTGGACATGTCCTGTAACATGGCAACACTTCTGGGTAGCAGACTGCCTGTGGACATCTCTCAGTAAATGTATTGCTAGTGTCAGGTGGCTCAGCACAGTGAAGTGCGTGGACATATCCTGTAACATGGCAACACTTCTGGGTAGCAGACTGGCTTTGGACATCTCTCAGTAAATGTATTGCTAGTGTCAGGTGGCTCAGCACAGTGAAGTGTGTGGACATATCCTGTAACATGGCAACACTTCTGGGTAGCAGACTGGCTGTGGACATCTCTCAGTAAATGTATTGCTAGTGTCAGGTGGCTCAGCACAGTGAAGTGCGTGGACATGTCCTGTAACATGGCAACACTTCTGGGTAGCAGACTGCCTATGGACATCTCTCAGTAAATGTATTGCTAGTGTCAGGTGGCTCAGCACAGTGAAGTGTGTGGACATATCCTGTAACATGGCAACACTTCTGGGTAGCAGACTGGCTGTGGACATCTCTCAGTAAATGTATTGCTAGTGTCAGGTGGCTCAGCACAGTGAAGTGCGTGGACATGTCCTGTAACATGGCAACACTTCTGGGTAGCAGACTGGCTGTGGACATCTCTCAGTAAATGTATTGCTAGTGTCAGGTGGCTCAGCACAGTGAAGTGTGTGGACATATCCTGTAACATGGCAACACTTCTGGGTAGCAGACTGGCTGTGGACATCTCTCAGTAAATGTATTGCTAGTGTCAGGTGGCTCAGCACAGTGAAGTGTGTGGACATATCTTGTGACATGGCAACACTTCTGGGTAGCAGACTGGCTGTGGACATCTCTCAGTAAATGTATTGCTAGTGTCAGGTGGCTCAGCACAGTGAAGTGCGTGGACATATCCTGTAACATGGCAACACTTCTGGGTAGCAGACTGGCTGTGGACATCTCTCAGTAAATGTATTGCTAGTGTCAGGTGGCTCAGCACAGTGAAGTTCGTGGACATGTCCTGTAACATGGCAACACTTCTGGGTAGCAGACTGGCTGTGGACATCTCTCAGTAAATGTATTGCTAGTGTCAGGTGGCTCAGCACAGTGAAGTGTGTGGACATATCTTGTGACATGGCAACACTTCTGGGTAGCAGGCTAGCTATGGACATCTCTCAGTAAATGTATTGCTAGTGTCAGGTGGCTCAGCACAGTGAAGTGCGTGGACATGTCCTGTAACATGGCAACACTTCTGGGTAGCAGGCTAGCTATGGACATCTCTCAGTAAATGTATTGCTAGTGTCAGGTGGCTCAGCATAGTCAAGTGCGTGGACATGTCCTGTAACATGGCAACACTTCTGGGTAGCAGGCTAGCTATGGACATCTCTCAGTAAATGTATTGCTAGTGTCAGGTGGCTCAGCACAGTGAAGTGCGTGGACATATCCTGTAACATGGCAACACTTCTGGGTAGCAGACTGGCTGTGGACATCTCTCAGTAAATGTATTGCTAATGTCAGGTGGCTCAGCACAGTGAAGTGTGTGGACATATCCTGTAACATGGCAACACTTCTGGGTAGCAGACTGGCTGTGGACATCTCTCAGTAAATGTATTGCTAGTGTCAGGTGGCTCAGCACAGTGAAGTGCGTGGACATGTCCTGTAACATGGCAACACTTCTGGGTAGCAGACTGGCTGTGGACATCTCTCAGTAAATGTATTGCTAGTGTCAGGTGGCTCAGCACAGTGAAGTGCGTGGACATGTCCTGTAACATGGCAACACTTCTGGGTAGCAGACTGGCTGTGGACATCTCTCAGTAAATGTATTGCTAGTGTCAGGTGGCTCAGCACAGTGAAGTGCGTGGACATGTCCTGTAACATGGCAACACTTCTGGGTAGCAGACTGGCTGTGGACATCTCTCAGTAAATGTATTGCTAGTGTCAGGTGGCTCAGCACAGTGAAGTGTGTGGACATATCCTGTAACATGGCAACACTTCTGGGTAGCAGACTGCCTGTGGACATCTCTCAGTAAATGTATTGCTAGTGTCAGGTGGCTCAGCACAGTGAAGTGCGTGGACATATCCTGTAACATAGCAACACTTCTGGGTAGCAGACTGGCTGTGGACATCTCTCAGTAAATGTATTGCTAGTGTCAGGTGGCTCAGCACAGTGAAGTGCGTGGACATGTCCTGTAACATGGCAACACTTCTAGGTAGCAGACTGGCTGTGGACATCTCTCAGTAAATGTATTGTTAGTGTCAGGTGGCTCAGCACAGTGAAGTGCGTGGACATATCCTGTAACATAGCAACACTTCTGGGTAGCAGACTGGCTGTGGACATCTCTCAGTAAATGTATTGCTAGTGTCAGGTGGCTCAGCACAGTGAAGTGCGTGGACATGTCCTGTAACATGGCAACACTTCTAGGTAGCAGACTGGCTGTGGACATCTCTCAGTAAATGTATTGTTAGTGTCAGGTGGCTCAGCACAGTGAAGTGCGTGGACATATCCTGTAACATAGCAACACTTCTGGGTAGCAGACTGGCTGTGGACATCTCTCAGTAAATGTATTGCTAGTGTCAGGTGGCTCAGCACAGTGAAGTGCGTGGACATGTCCTGTAACATGGCAACACTTCTAGGTAGCAGACTGGCTGTGGACATCTCTCAGTAAATGTATTGCTAGTGTCAGGTGGCTCAGCACAGTGAAGTGTGTGGACATATCCTGTAACATGGCAACACTTCTGGGTAGCAGACTGGCTGTGGACATCTCTCAGTAAATGTATTGCTAGTGTCAGGTGGCTCAGCACAGTGAAGTGTGTGGACATGTCTTGTGACATCGCAACACTTCTGGGTAGCAGACTGGCTGTGGACATCTCTCAGTAAATGTATTGCTAGTGTCAGGTGGCTCAGCACAGTGAAGTGTGTGGACATATCCTGTAACATGGCAACACTTCTGGGTAGCTGACTGCCTGTGGACATCTCTCAGTAAATGTATTGCTAATGCCAGGTGGCTCGCCAGAGTGAAGTGTGTGGACATGTCTTGTGACATCGCAACACTTCTGGGTAGCAGGCTAGCTATGGACATTTCTCGGTAAATGTATTGCTAGTGCCAGGTGACTCAGCACAGTGAAGTGTTTTGACATATCCTGTAACATGGCAACACTTCTGGGAACCAGACTGGCTGTTTTTATGTAGTAGTATACAGGGTGAATAAAAAGTCAAGACCCCCTCTCTAATATCTTTCTTAGTAAATATACAGAGAAATGCTTCTGGTGGTCGTGCAATCTTAGCAGGAAGTTTCATTTTATGATTTTGAAATTGTTTAGTGTTCCCCCTAAAAGGGTAATTAGGGGGGCAACTCAAATATGTTAAATGTAAACCCCCTTCAAGTTATACTTCATTTTGAAGTGTTTACAAAAACTTGAATAATGGTGAAAACTAGAGCTCGCTATCTCTTCTATATAAATAAAATTAGAGTTTTGTCTGTACATTGCTCACAATTATATATTTTTAGGTTATTTTTACGTCTTATACATTAAATAAGCAGAAACGAGTCTTATCTCTATTTCTGTCTGTCTATCTATCTGTCTGTCTGTAACACTCAAGATGGCATTTTACGCTATCTTCTCCTGGAAAACGAGAGTGCCTATCAAGATCCAAGTCATTTTAATGTATTCACTGGATTGGCGAGATTGTCTTTAGCCATTAAAATATGGCCTCAGTACTTTGTAAATAATATTACGAACGTTCAAAAATGTAGTTTTGTGCTATTTATGTCAAGTTTTCGTCAAATATTTATTGCATAATCATCTATGAAATAACGAACAGCTGTTCCGATCAAGATTTTTCCTAGCTGTCACTGATATGTTTACAAATGTTGTTTACAAATACCGCAACCTTTTTCAATCACGTTTTGAATGCAAATCCCAACCAAGTGAGATTAAAAACGTTTTTCTTACATAACGGATTTAATTAATCGAAAGTGCAATAATATAGTGTAATAGTGTAACCGTGTAAGTGAAACTAAATAACTAGGCATCATCCATTTTTTAGGAACCAGAGATTCTTTGTGTATAAATTGTTCTTGAGTTTTGATAACCAGAAAGAAGACCTTGAATCAGTGTTGTATACGGCTGGGAAACTGAAATTTAATAATGATCGTCGCCAATAGCTTAGAAACATGATTTCCACTCATTGACACGGCGCTTCAATGGCGGTTGTGTAAAGTGTAAAGTAAAAAATCACAACTGCAGTGGGTGATTGTAACAGAGGTTTACGGATGATGCTAAACTCGCTTTTCTAATGCGTTATTTTCTGTTCCTACCATTGACTATATATATATATATATATATATATATATATATATATATATATATATAGTCACAATAGTACCTACTCACCGTCTGATGCAATCGCTGGACCATACAGCCAATAGGCCCATAGCCCATCTCTTGGGTACGTACGCCTACCCAATTATTCATAACAACCTTTTCGACGACGATCCTTGATACCGGTACTTTTCCCTAGAATACACGTTCTACGTACTTAAGAAATAAAATTACAAACGTCCAAATACCCAACGTTGTGTGATTTTTGTCACATTTCACTCTAATGTTAATAGATAGCCTTTACCAACAATTGTTTAGAGAATAGGTACGTAATCTATTAAATAACAAAAAGTTGTTTGTATGGGGTTGTTTTTTTCCAAACTGACAGTTTACATTAAAAGTTGTTTACAAATAAAGCAATTAATGGGAAATAACTTTGATTGCCGTTTTAAAACGTTTTACGAGAAAATCCAAAACCAAGAGATCAATAACCTCGGGACTTGATTAACTCATGTAATTGGTCGGCTGTACTATAGTTCCTAACTGTGAACGTTGGTTTTTGGAACTGGTTCTATATCTTAGAACCGTTGGTACTGTTGGTAGCAGCAAGAATCATTTTTAAGTACCAACACATCACTGTACTTTACAAATTAGTTATCGTTGGTGTTGCACCTTATTTATTATTACAGGCGTATTCAATTTAATAGATATCTTAACTGTACAATTTTTGCTTTTTCTTTCTTGATTCCAAAATGTTAGTTTATGCTAAGAAAACGATAACGCATTTTAGTAAAACATTTATTCAGCAAACCATCATGAATTGTTTAAACGCTTTACGTTGTTTATGTATCAATAGTTCGTGGCCTATTTTGGTAATATTTACTATAAATTACCAATCGTCTATAGTACTTCATTTCATACAGTAAGCCGTCATTTCGGGTCATCATCGGTCCAAGCAAATATAGATTGTTATGATAAAATTTGATGACATTAACAAATATTTCAGATACTAATTTTACAAGTACTTTGTTATGCTTAAAGCGCAGCAAATTCCCTAATTAAGTTCTGTATGTTTGTGTGTGTGTCTGTTAGTAACGCATTAATGTCCTTATTTCTCAGTGTTTCACGGTAAGGACAAAAGTACCTTTATAATGAAAATGTCAACACGAATAAATTGTTAATTTGGGAGGTTGAGGTACTGGTAGTACCTTAAATACTTTTAACCATTGTGGAAGGTAACTTTCAATTTATAGGCCTAAATTAGGGCTATGTCTCATAGATGTATAAAGCATTTTTTAGTTTAATCATTGGATTTAACATATGGACCAACACGACCCAGGTTACATTTAATTTCGAAGCATTTGTTTTGGCTTGAAACTGTCAGATACTGTATTTGCGAAGGTTTATATATAATAGTATTGCCAGCATATCTGAAAATATGCAAACCAAATTCTGTTCTTAATAAAAAGGTTTCAATAACTGACTACAATAAGATCCCCGTGCGTAGAACGGGCACACAGCTAGTCTCTATCTAAAATGGTAGCCCGTCAAATTTTGTGGAAAATCAATGGTAATATTGGTTCGTAATGGTAATATTGGCTACCAATTTGAGGCTCTCACCGTTTCTAGCAGTTATATACTTTATGACCTACACAACATCCCGGTCAAGGTCGAGCTTCTTGGCGTGGAGAATACCCTGGATGTAATGTAACACACAGGTCCAATTGTCCTCACCCTCCGTCATCAGTGGTACACAGTACTTACAGGGCATTTTTGCCTAATAGTAAACTAAAAGTTTCTCTATCATGAGATATAATTTTAGGTCGTGTAATTTATGGTTTGTAAAATTTACATAATAAATTAATTTCGAGCTTTAGAATCCAACTTAAAGTTGTCACAGCCAACTCATTGTTTCTCAAAATGTATTCTATCTAGAAATTGAGACGCATTCCACTCCATGGTTGAATGCCGAGCTGTAATCTCTCATTTCTGCTAATTCCAAACATGACTTTGCAGTGCACACAATAAACGGTACTGAATTATTTATGAAACCAACCCTTTAATGATGTCTAAATAAAACGGAAATCAGATCGTTTCCCAAAGATTGTTAAAATTGTTATTTAGTGTTTTAAAATTAAATAAATACGAGCTGTTGGCCCGTCCTACGTACGGGAATCGAGTAGTCCATTAGCATAGATTAAGCAGATCAAAATTTATTGTAAAGAAAAAGCTGTAAAGATGAATTAAAACATGTAATCATTGTTATTTTTCCAACCTTTCCTCAAAAAGTCGTTTAGTATGTCTAAAATAATTTTCATAAGCTTTCTTTGGAAGATTCGTGAGCTTCGATTCGTATACAGCAATGGTTATAGAATCTTACTTATTTCCTATAATCAATGACAAAATCACAGAGTAAATAAACTAACCTCATAGTTCTATAGAATATTTTTTTATTCAACCACCTGTTAGTTATAACAAATTATATTGCACTAAAACAAACTAAATATTTTAAAGACTGCTCAAAAAAACAAATTAGAACATTTAGTAGTTTACTATGTATATTTAAATAATATCTCATCCTCTTACCAAATAAATGAACGTATCAATGATTATAGCATTACACATAGTATGAATGTGTCAACCCTACGTATGCAATTTCATTTTTATTCAAATGCTGATTTTGTGTCACAAACACTGAATGTTTACAGCTGTTACGTTAAACAAATGGCATTATACCAAAAGCTTGTCTAGAATGTTAGCGTCGGCTGCTAGACTTTTTTTTTAATTAAAACTTAATTTCTAAAAACCGAAGCCCTAAGCTAAAGTTATGGTCCCCTAAACTTCGACATTCCCTAGTTCTCAAATTTTTTTTTTCAACATAACAATTATGAAAATTCGTCAAGTGGTTGATTCAGAATCGTGACGTTTTAATATTATATATAGAATAGATAGACTAGAGTCAAATACTAGTTTTAAGTTAGTTGCTCAAAATCAAGCAATTGCTAAGTATTTTAGGATTTATTTTAAAACTGTGTGAATTCGAAATAAATAACTCTCAACATTATTTTGGACCTGTGTAGACAGCAATAGGTTGTATAGGCCTAGGTTGAGGTACAGGTATAGTCTGTGTATAGGAGCATGCACGAATTACAGTAGTTTTCTTTCCTTACCTGGATGAGAGGGAGGAGGTGACAGGCGGTGCGGCCCAGGAGCCAGTCATTGAACACCAGTACGACAACAGTGAGAGGCAGCACTGGACAGTGAAGCAACAGGTTGCCTAGGCCTAGGTTGAGGTACAGGTATAGTCTGTGTCTGTAGGTGTAGATGAGGAGACAGCAGTTGGTGAGGACTGCAGTGATGAGCACCAGACTGTACATGGCTAGTACAGCAGGGTAGAGGGTGGCTAGGGCTGGTCGCAGATGCGGCTGGTCTGTCAGGTTGCCCTGCTGTTCCTCCAACCAGTGGATCATGGCTCCCAGTACCTCGGGGCGCAGGTCGTGGAACTGCTCACTGCCTTTCCCTCTCACCATCATGCAACAACTTACACAACAAGTAAAGTAACTGTTTTACGCTTAATCAAATACTTCTTTAAAGAAACTTGCTTGTTGTTAAAAGATTTTTTAGGTAGCAGACCCACTACAATTTGACTCCTACCTAAACTCCAATCAAGACTCCTAAGTTACTTGATATTCCTTTTTAGTCACTTGAAAATTCCATTGAATACTCCTCCCAACATTTCCTCAGGAATCACTTTAGTTTCTTAGAAATCCAAAAAAATATCTAGGGCAACTTTGAAAAACCTTAAATTTCAAGTAGCTTATAGGGAGAACCCCAAAAGAAAGCAAAGAGCCAACGTAAAGCTTCCAACATCGAAAGCATTCTGGCAAACCTCTTTGGACTTTGAGTTACTGCGACTCACACTCTTTCAACGTTTGCTGGTGTACAAGAGTTTTGTGGCACCCACAGATTATTTTTATGGTTTACTTTAAGCTGTTACCCTATATACTTTTACACAGTTCCCTATTGTTTTCCAATATGGAATAGCGCCATATTGACCAAGTATGGTATATGTGGTCCAAACGATCTCTAGGTGTTTGCATAAAAATTACTATTTTAAAAATAAGTTCCTACATCAAAATATCAGTGTTGCAAGCATCAGGCACAATGTTTACTAAAATTGCATAGTTTGATTGATGCTATAAGCACAGTTGTTCGTTCATTGTTGCTAATGTGACAACGAAAGAAAATTGGGGTGCTCTCACTGCCTCACCCTCCTATATATTGGTACGAATGTCTTTATGTTTCTGTGTTTATGTGTGTAATGAAGCAAAACTAATTATGCGTTTCATAAAAATATATTTCACTAATAGTCAAAGTGTGACTAAAAGTTGTAATAATAATAATAATAATAGTAATTAAAACCCTATTAATAAATACTTTTGAATCATTAACAAAGGGTAGTTCAATTAACAACTACACTATTGTTAATGAACAAAATACAAATCTCTTCAGATAAAAAAAATTGAATGAGAACAAATGTTACCTACCAACACAGAAAACATACTACTATAACCAAGTACAAGTAACGAATCATTTGTCATATACATTTGTAACACATCAAGTGAATCAACATAAGTGCGAAATTGGATTTACTTAAATTTATGAAACATATCTGACTCCACTCCAACAATAGAATTCCTGTCATGCAAAACAGAGGAATAACACGTTTATTTGTTTAACCAAATGAAGTGTACGTGTAATTGATTTATTAAGTGAGTCTTCTGCTGCAATATCTGTTTATTTAGATTCATTAGATGTTTATTAGATTTAGATTGATTTATTCCTCATCCAAACAACATTAGAATTGATGCGTACTTAGGATTGCTGCTACAGGGAAGCAAAAATGTGTCTTTTGATCAAATGATTATAGAACAGGATGAAATATATAAATTTGCCAAATGCAATCAAGACATATCCGTAAACAAGCAAACAACAACAGTTATTTCCTCCATAGAAATAACATAGGAATTTTAAAAGTATAGTTTTGTATTTCTAATGACACAATTTTTATTAGAACTTAATGTAAACTGTGTAAAATAGGTGTATATAAACGGTTTACACTATAGCTATAGTATAAGCTATATCTATATTTATAAAAAAACTCTTAAATATCTCCCCAAATTGCATAACATTTTTCGAAAAACGAATTCCACATTCGACAGTTATAAAATTCACTGGTACGATTTTCATTGCAAATACTCGGATTAACAAATTTCCCATATAATATAACAAGCTAATAAGCTATTGCCATAGGTTTCATGGTAATACCTAGACACGGGACCACTTCACTTTTTTGTTTTGACGTCACCAAAGGCCAAAACATCATCCGTTCAAAAACACCATCAGAACATAAAAATATATATAGATATGTCCGTAAGCCCGGTAACTCCAGTAAAAATCATCCGATTTTCAAAAAGTTCTGTACAAACATGTAGATCCACAATATTCAAATGAGTTCGCGAACCAACATCACTGGACTATGAGAACAGGGTATTATGGGGTAAAAATTGGGTTTTCCTATTTTTGACCCTCTAAATATAAATTTGGAATTTTTATTTGGAATTGTTTTTCAAATTCATTTTTTATAGCTAAAAAAAAGTAATTTTGCATATTTAAGCGTTGTTGTACAAAAAATGGTTACAGAGAGAATCACAACTGCTATAAATATAAAATTCCCACGTTATTCTTAAAAAAATAAGTCGTTTTAGTGCTGCATCGTACATACTCGAACGAATGATACGATTTCCAACGACAAAATGTCACGGGTTAAGTGTGACCTTGTGGCTGGGTCAGGTTAACAATAACTAAATAGTTAATTAACTAATTATACAGATCTGTTTCCAATGGACAGAATGTTGCGCATCTGCTAGAACGTATTTAACAACCATTAAGTATGGTACACGTTACTCATAAATCAAATGTTACTTTCTGTTTCTGTGCCTATCTCTTCTCTTACGTGTGGGTTTTCCGGAACGGTATAATCTTGATATATCTGTTCGAGCTAAATAATAGTAGGACAATATTTTAAAGTATAAAACAATTTTGACATAGTTTTGTATCCAGTTAAGATGAAATTCACTCAAGTTTTTCATATGATATGATTAAAAGTTTTGATGTTGATCATTACTTCATCGCTGATCATTTAAAAGTATAATTAACAAAAAGGATGTGCAGATTAGCCAATTAACATATCTCAATTATGATTAATAATCAATGCTACTCTTTAACTTTACAAACTATTATAATTTTCTTATTTCTATCAGTTGTGTGGAATAATTACTAATATAAACTTTAGATCAGTCAAAATACAATACAGTTTAGGATATTTTATATAGCTGTCTTGGAGGAGTGAGCTGCACACAAAGTTTATTTTACTTATAGGCATACCACCGGATAAATTACAGGGTATTCCCACAACTATTTACGCACTACACATAAGTTTTACAGCAAGGAAAGCTGACGCAAACTGATTATAATCAATTAGTTGTTTCTTCCAATCATTTATTGCAATCGTCGACTATAAATCTTTTAATGATCATTGCTTCAATTAAAACACCTATGTATACGATTTTAAAAATATGTAGCACGTTTGCAAAAAGGATGAAAAATCTAGGGTTGTTGTTGAAACAGTTTTTACCAAATGAATCTCTCCAACACGCAAAACCTACTGGACCGATTTAAAACTCGAAAAAGACACATTCCCTGACAAACGTTATTGTCTTACAGACAGCATTTTGCCATGATTTGTCACCATGACAACTATAAGAAAAAAGCTCACATCCACTGTTTCTTTCTTACATTAAATCAGTTTACATTACAAAAACTCATTAAATCTATTTTACTTATTAATTAAACTGCTAGAACCAAAGAGAATAATTTAAATATACCAAATTTAAAGCAGTCGAGTTTAAAAAATCAATGATAGGTAGTTTATATATTTTACAGTAGTTAAAAAAAATGTGTGTACTCTCTTAATTTCAAAACGCACTGCTACAGAAAATATATTTAGCAAAATGTAAGCTTTGTGTCTATATTTGTATTTCCGAAGAACTTTATGACAATTACAAAATGCCTTATCAATTTCAAGAGATTGTAAGGAATATTCTGTTCACAAGCAGACAAATCACCGACGTTCTACCATTGACTTTTGGATACAGCAAAGGTTTTACCTACCTGCCTAGTTACCACATAGTTAACACTTTCACTAGAGAAGTTTTATGCTCAAAAACTTTAATAGATCATATACTTAGAGATTTTTTATCATTCGAGAGCTCTGTTATTGTTTTGGATTTATCAGATCACCACGCTCAGGCTGTTCTTATGCCATCAAATATCTCATCTGACAGTCCCCCCAAAATAACACGATTCGCCAGATTATTTAACGACTCTAACAAAAGGGTTTTCAAATGCCTTCTAAGCCGAGAAACTTGGACCGACATGATGGAGACTGATAATGTCGACAAAAGATTTGTAGCGTTCTCAATTTCGACGGGTTTCACCTAGGATATATATATATAGGCTATATATATATATATGTAAATCGGTCTCGAGTCCAGGTCTTACCATGAGTACTACGGTAATAGCTTATTCCCTATATGGGAGATTCGCTGATAGAAAACAAAAGAATTGTCACTACTCACATGTACGAGTAATTATAACACACCGTCCACAGGATACTAACAAATTACAAGATATAGTAAAAAGGGAAAACATCAGTTGTTACTATTGAGCAAAGGGGATTATTATGAGTAGGGATTACACTGAAGATTACTCGATATAGGGGAAAATGTTCCGATCAAATGCTGATTATTTTACTTAGCCCTCTCCCACCAAAACTTAATCCCTGAATTACTGAGGCATTCCAAGTAAACTAATTACATCTGGGGGTTTTAATTGGCATACAACTATTACCGTATGCTAAATCCCTATGAAAAAAACAGACAGAATCTCAATTTCTTTCGAAGTAGTATCGTTGTCAAGAGACATTTTGAAACTAATATGATTTTGTTTGTATCATATTTTTATCTACTGTTTTTAGTGAGGGTAAGTTTTGTGCGAGTAGAACTTAAACTTACATACAGAGTTGTTATGATTTCAGTGATCAAATGTCTGTCTATGGTTTGTAATAATTTTTCTCGTAAATTATAAATGTTTTATTTTAACCATTAAACCCAACTAACAACAACTCAGGGAGGCTCGGTTCCCCCGGTACTTCTAATTTAACATACTCATGTATGTTACTCTCATGCTACTCTCATGTATGTTACTCTCATGTATGTTACTCTCATGTATGTACCTCTGCATCATTGGAGAGGTAAACAATAATAACAATAACAGTCAATTACATCAAATTAAATCTTAAAGGTAATTATCATAGGACATAATACCTAAATATTCGTCTATTGTATGAAATGGATTGGCAATACGCCACTCAGATAATTTAATTTAAAGTCTCATAAACACGAATCAG